GATGATGATGATGATGATTAATTTGGATATCTATTAAAAAATATGAACTTGCTTTCTCAAGTCACCACACACAAATTTTATTAAACTTGGTAAAATGGAATAATTTTAGTACAGTAAGTGCACATTACAGTTTTCTAAGCAATGAATTTATCAACCAAGTATGTTATAATGAGTATTTCGCTAAATAATACGTCATACGATACCTTACATTTTAAAACAAACTTCACATTAATTTTAACTTTAGATACCATTTTCTTCTTATTAATACACATCTGTCAATCAATTGTTAAAAAACAATTTAGTAGGCCTAAGTATTTTTAATTTAAATTCTTGTAAAACTACATTTATATTAATATATTATAGTCTATCAGTTATCATTTATTAAAGGCACACTGCAATATTCACTTTCTCATTGACATATTCTTGCTCAATATTTAAATTTAAGGAATAATGGGGCATTCTCAGGTAAAACTGATTTCCACAGAAGTATTAGATAGTTGCACTTTACAACCAGGGTCAAAAATTCACAAAATTCCAAACTGTTCCTTCACAAAAATTATAACTGGTCCTCCAGGGATTCTAACCAGTCCTTATCAGGTTTAATTAGTCCACTCCAAAACATGTATATATATTTTAATTCCAGTTTATCAAATCTAGATGTGAATTCTTTTTAAAGAAAGACAAATAAAAAATATGTGCATACATGTGTAACATTAAACAAAACTCTTTAATTAAAAAGTTTTTGATTATATCATTCTTAGAATGTATATAATCCAGATAAACACAAAAAAATATAAATCACTATTACTATTTTAATACTGATAAAAAGGTATTTCTCAATTGAAATGTTAATATTCATCACATTTCATTTGGATTAATTTCTACGTTCATATGTTCCAGGAACCTCCATTTCATTTCATACACTATAAGCTAAAGGTTTCATCTGGGAGATTAAAAAACAGAAGGTACTTTCACAAAACCAAAGATACAACAATAATTTTAAGAAAAAGTTAAGAAATGCATATTTGTTAACAAGAGAAAATATGATAAAAGCTTAAAAGTTTAGGTTTATTAGTTGTTGTTTTTCTATTCTAGTTGGTCCGTGGGACTCCTTGCTGGTCAGTGCCAACTCCATGATTTTTGGACCCTGTTTATAACAAAATGATTGATCATTAAACTGCAAAGTATATCTGAGTTAACAAATTAGTGAGGTTAAGTTAAGAAAATAAACAAACTGGACACATGATGCAAGGTGAAACGCAACCTTTATTATATACACCAAAGTAAAAACACAGTGTGCTTACTAGTGTAAACATTTGACAGTCATATTCTACAAGATCAGTGTATGAGTTAGCAAGTATTCTTCCTTTGGGATGTCTTCCTGTAAACTGACTCAGCCCCTTAACAAAGAACTCTACACATGTTATGACAATAAAGCTTTAACATTGATAAATTCGTAAAATACAGTTTAACAAAGAACATGTTTAATATTACCTATTAACATAAAATTCACAGAGAAAATACCTTTTAACAATGAAAACATGGTCAACAATGAAAATCCAAACAAAAACATCACACATTACCTATCCCTTTAAAAGGAGTAACCTAACAAACTATGCATACAATTACAGAACAAAAAATAATAATAATAATATATAT